GGGGAAGTGCACGGTTAGCCACTAATAACACATGTATTTACTTTTAAGCCACTGTTTAAAATGTCTTTAGTCTTTAGCGACTGCTTTAATAAACTTTAACTGCCCGGACGAAAATACTCTTCTGCTCATGTCCTTAACTTTTGAACTTAACTTCAGGACTACATGTCCTTAACGTTTGAACTTGTAACTCTAAGTTCATGACTTCAGGACTACATGTCCTTAATTTTTGAACATGGAACTCTAAGTTCAGGACTTCAGGACTACATGTCCTTAACTTTTGAACTTAACTTCAGGTCAGGACTACATGTCCTTAACTTTTGAACTTGTAACTGTAAGTTTAGGACCAAGTGTCCTTAACTTTTGAGCTTGTTAGTCTAAGTTCAGGACCTATTGTTCTTAACTTTTGGGCTTCTTAGCCTAAGTTCAGGACCTATTGTCCTTAACTTTTGAGCTTGTTAGTCTAAGTTTAGGACCTATTGTCCTTAACTTTTGAACTTGTAACTATAAGTTCAGGACCTATTGTCCTTAACTTTTGGGCTTCTTAGCCTAAGTTCAGGACTTATTGTCCTTAACTTTTGAGCTTTTTAGTACTTTTGAGCTTGTTAGTCTAAGTTCAGGATTTCAGGACCTATTGTCCTTAACTTTTGAACTTGTAACTGTAAGTTCAGGACCTATTGTCCTTAACTTTTGAGCTTGTTAGTCTAAGTTCAAGACCAAGTGTCCATAACTTTTGAACTTGTAACTGTAAATTCAGGATCCATAACGTAGCAAAAAACTAAACGTTATTTGTATCTTTTCACAAAAAAAAATAAAAATAATAATAATTGCAATTTACATATAAGATTGATGTCAAATGAAGTGCACAAAATTCTTCCAGAATCATCGTAGTTTGCTATTGATTGTTCCATTAAATAAAATCAATAACGGTAGTAACCAATACTACAAATTTTAAGAATGTATATCTATATCGATACTCTGAACCAAAGCACTTCAATCCAATAAATGAACCCATAACGAGATCAACATTGCTAAATGAACGTAACACCGTTTCTGTCTTTTGATATTTATCAATTCTCGTCGATATAGAGGCAACTTGGTATTAGCTATGTTGTGGCAACTTGGTATTAGCTATGTTGTGGTGTCACCCAGAGAATGTGGAACTTGAGAAGGTGAAAGTTGTTCACTACTGTGCGGCGGGGTCAAAGCCATGGAGGTTCACTGGCAAGGAAGAGAACATGGACAGAAAAGAGATAGAAGAAAGGGTAATACTGTTTTTTCATATTAATTTTAATAGACTAGTGGCTACTTTTGCTCAGCATTAAAAAAACTGGATAAAAACTAAATACCACTTTAAAAAATGGCTATCCCACGCAATTTTTACTTATTTAGGACCACAAATTTCAAAAGTCTTCATTTTTTTCTTAAACTCCGTGCCCAGTCAAAAAGGTTCACATAAATTGGAACGGAGGGAGTATTACTTAATAATTGAAAAGTAATAAATCTTATATAAAAACGAAATGGGTCATATTTGTTCTTCTGCTTTTAAATATTATTCATATCTCCCATCGTTTAAGTCAGAGACAGACCTAGGATTTTTATGTGAGAGGGACACCATTATTTTAACTTTTATCAATGCTCCTTAAAATTTTTTAGTGTTCAGAATGCAAAGTTATGAAAGGAAGCCTTGGCGTAGCTGGTAAAATTGCTGCCATGTGACCAAGACGTCACGAGTTCAAGCCGTGGAAACAACATCTTGCAGAAATACAGGGTAAGGCTGCGTACAATAGATCCTTGTGGACCGGTCCTTCTGCGGACCCCGCGCATAGCGGGAGCTTAGTGCACCGGGCTGCCCCTTTAGAGCGCTAAGTTATGTGTAATATCTTTTTTTAAAGTATACACACATACATATATAAGATTTCTGCGAAATTTATGGGTCCGATGACCCCTCAATGGTACACGTAGGTCCGGCTCTGGCTTGAGTATTACAATTGACCTATAGTTACACTTCTGAACCAAAATGTCTCTTATCCATTAAGAGACCCGGATGAAGCACTAAAATAAATTACGTGGAGGGTAATACACATTTTAGCAAAAAGAAAAAAAAAGATTTA